AGCAGGCAGCCCAGACAACCCAGACAGCTCAGATAGTTTAGGATAGAAAACACTATATAAGTAGCTACTGTTTATGTAATTTTCAGTCAGTTTTTGATAAACTTACTTTTGAAATCATCTGATTTTTATGTCTTAATAAAATACTGATATTTTATTAAACACAATTTGGTTATAAAGATTCATTGGAGAATTTTTACTGTACCTTGGACTATTTGTAAAAAATTATCTCTAGAATAATGAACTGTTCTATATAATCTTTAAATTCCTTCTAAAAACTATTACTTGGATATGGATCAAATGAATTTTGATCACAATATGTATAGTTATAACCTTTATTTTCAAATTCTTTAAGTAAATAAATAGTAAAAAAAACAATCTTTTTTATTTCAAAATTATATCTAAAGATATAATTTAAAATAGATATTCAAAACAATAAAATAGTTTATACAATATAATATATTATATATTAATTGTTTTCTATAAAGATTTAATAAACATATGTACTTGTTTGATTATGGAAAAAAAAAAAACATACATATATTTTTATTTATATTATTTAATTATTTATTGAATTATAAGTAAAATTAAAAATAAAATTTATCTAATTGCCTGCAATTTATTACCGCAGTTAAAATCATATTAAAACTATGATTATCAGCCCCGCGTTTCCTAAAGTGGTCTGATTATTCAAGAAAGTATATTGTACTACATCGAGATTATAACCTGATCCAATTTAAACCAATCATTTACCGAAAAATTTCTCACACCACTTTTTTTTTTTAAGCATGAAATGAGTATGATTGTTATTTAATGAATAGCTTTTATAGCTTTTTCCTATTTACTCGCGAATCCCTTTTCCTTACTCTAAAAACTTAGTAATATGCAATCAACCGACCTTCAAGACTTATTAATGTGTGAACCATATTTCGAGGACTTCACTACTACGAACGCGCTGGGGAGTAATGATTCCTCGAGCGTACAACTTCCATCGGCAACTTTATCAGAATTTGAAGCTCAAATTCAAGCAATGTTAGCAGCTAATAATAATGAAATGACAGCTTCTCGTGCAAA